CCCCAAAACCCCAAAACCCCAAAACCCCAAAACCCCAGAAGTTTAGAAAAATAGAAATAGTTAAGAAATTAATCAGTTATAAATGGTCAGTTATGCATGGACAATTCCTAAGGGAACTAACAAAAAGAAGAAGAAAAGGTGATCTTCTCCTGGACCAGGAAGCTATGAAGATGTTAATGTCAACCTAGTCAAGATAGCTCCTCCAGAATGGACTATTAAAGGCAAGTATCCTTGGAAAGTACAGTCTCTTGATGGGCCAGGGCCTGGAAGTTACTCAGTTAGCACAAGAAGGCCAGGTAGTGCATATACAATTCAGGGAAAAAGAAAAGAATATTATATTGGAGATGAACCTGGTCCTGGAAGCTATTATATGAGGCAAAGCTATGACAACATTGGAGGTTATATCGGTCATAAGTTTGGAGAAAACTCAAAAGAGAGATCTCCTGGTCCAGCAGAATATTTTCCCTCAATTTATAAATCGCATCAAGGTTGGACCTTTGGAAGTAAAACTAATGATAAATTTGAAGTTTATGATTCTCCAGGCCCTGGATACTATGAAGCTTATAGAAATAATATGTATGCTCTTGGTAAATTTGGAAAAGAGAGAAGAGGAAAAATTTATTCCTCTTATGATTCACCTGGGCCTGGCCATTATTCTCCAAAGTCTAAATCAAAAGATGGATGGACTATACAAGGCAAAAGAAGTGAGAAATATTTCTCAGGTGATGTACCAGGACCAGGTGAATATTATCCATTCTATAATCAAGGAACTCCAGCATATTCAATGGCTGGAAAGAATAAAAAGAAAAAGAAAGCTTCTGATGGACCAGGACCAGACACTTATTTTCCTTCTATCAATGCTACCAAGCCAAGGCCGAAGAGTGCTAAATTTACTTCAGGTAGGAAGGATCGAAGAGGACACGATCAGCCTGGGCCTGGTCAATACGATATGAGATCAATGCTAGGAGGTCCATCTGCTTCCATAAAAGGAAGACCAAAAACAGCAAAGAAAAAGAGTAGTCATCCTGGGCCAGGACAGTACAAAGATAAATATAAAATCACAAAACCAAGAGCTGCAAGTGCGAAAATAGGTAAAGCCAAAAGAATGGCTCACTACACAGATGATACTCCTGGACCTGGCTTTTACAACAACTGGGATAGGAAAGATTTAAGAGGAACAAAATTTGGTTCTTCAAAAAGACCAGGAACTGCAAAGAAAAAGAGTGGGCCCGGGCCAGGATCTTACAACATTAAATCAACCTTTGGAGGCAAGTCCGGGAAGACTATTGCAGGGAAAAGGAAGCATAAGTCTATTGAAGATACACCAGGTCCTGGAATGTATAACCCTAAGTTAGATAAAGGACCTGCTTTCTCTTGACAAGGAAAATATTCAACTGATTACAGTTTAAGAGAAAGTCTAAAGAAGCCAGGGCCAGGCCAGTATTTCCCAAGCTATGACCCTGTGAGACCTCATAATCCTGGTAAATCTATGGGAAAGAAGAGGAAAGCAAAATATGATGATGATATTCCTGGTCCTGGCTCATATAACCAATACAAATGGGATAATAAGGGAAGAGGATGGACTATCTCTGGAAGACCAAAAACTGCTGGAAAGGAAAAATCTCCAGGACCTGCTGCTTATTTCCCAAGTTTAGGAAAAGATGCACCGGCATTTTCAATGGGAGGACATTATAGAAAGCCATATAATGATGAATTAAGCCCAGGTCCTGGAGACTATGAATTAAACTCTAATTGGAACAAAGGTGTCTTAATGGGTAAAGAGAAAAAGCTTCAAACTGCAGGAGGATATAAGTCTCAATATCCTGGACCAGGAGCTTACTATCTTCCAGAAAAGAAAGAGAAAGGAGTATATATGGGAGAGAAATTCTATGATAAAGAATACACTGGAACGCCTGGTCCTGGCACTTATGAACATAACAAAAATAGAGAAGGTCCTCATTATTCTATGGCAAGTACCGGAGCAAAAGGAAAATATGACTCCGTTGGGCCAGGTCCAGGTGCTTACAATTATATTCAATCATATCAGCAAGTTTATAATGCTAAACATGGGAAGTCTTTTGGGCACAAAACAGGGTATGAAAGCAAGAATATGGGAGTTCCTGGCCCAGGAACTTATTATCTTCCTCAATCAAAAGGCAAAGGAATAACAATGAAAGGTAGATACCCAGATAATATTTACCAAAGATCCCCAGGGCCAGCTGCATATGATCAAAATTGGAAGACTATTCAAGCCATAGTTGATACTTCAAAGCCTAGTGCTGGAGGAACAATGAGTAAATCCAATGGGTTCTATCCTTCTGGCAGTATTCCTGGACCAGGTTCTTATTATTCTCCTTCTAAGCTAACTCATATTGGTGGAAAATTTGGAAGAGAAATCAGAGGAAGTGATAAAAAGTCTGAAAATCCAGGGCCTGGCTACTACTATATCCCTTGCACAGTTGCAGATGTTCCAAAATATGTGTATCCTAACCCAGATCCAAGATACAAGTGGGTATAAGGCTCACTTTCATGAGTTAAATAAGCTTATTTTTCGAGAAAATTAAGATTCATCGTGAAACTTAAATCTCTAGACATTTATTCATCCAAAAATTGAAGCTAATCAATATCATTTAGTATCAGAGGGGTTTTGGGGTTTTGGGGTTTTGGGGTTTTGGGGTTTTGGG